GTTTCAATACAACAATCTTTGACTTATATTTAATTTGCTTAAAATGTATATTTAATACTCTTGATCGCCTTTTTAACACTATTAAGTAATACAATACAGAGAAATACTATATCAGTATAGGTATATTTACAGTAATTACTTCTGAGACAGTTTGTTCTAGCATCAGTGAAACACAAGAATAATTCAGAAATAGAGTTATTTGTTTACAATCAGTCAGTTATTAAAACATAAGGGACTAACTCGTAAAGTCAACATGACAAGTTCAGTTGTCAAACACACCATTCACGTGTTGATCGGATCATATAACCTAAAGTAAATGTAAACGTGTAATTATTCTGGTATAATAAGACGTCTAGTTTTTCAATTATGATAAAAAGGACTAAATGTGTTAATCTTGAGTTGGTCAGTTTTGAATAGCTTATGTTACGCAGCGCCCACTGGTAGCAAAGGGAGAATTTTTTACATTGGGCAGAAAATAGCTAAACAATACACAATAACTTTAAAATTACATTAGTATATTTTTTGCCATGAACTATTACTACAATAGTTTTAAACTTTGCTGTGTGAATTATTCATGAACATAAGTCTCAATTATTTTTATGTTACCATTCAAAACAAAAGCGTCACGAGCAGATAGAAAAACATAAAATAGCTGGTTCTACAGAGGATAAGTAGTACTACAACTTATATAAAAACGAATTTTGGAGTCTCAACACGTCATTAGAATACGTGTCGCCATGTCCAGTCATACTCTATCTGACAATGTGCATCTAGACAATAGTCCTGCAGCGTAGATTCCATTGCAAAAGACTCCGTCGTAAGGCTGTCATGTCCAAAACACCCTGCACCTCCCTACGTGTTTTCCATAATACATCTAGTGTACGAGAACGAAAGTTTTCCAGCGCCCATCATAAAAGTCCAATCACACAGAAATCCATAGAAACTGCGTCCGGCCACTTGACCGGTATGTCTTCGTACGGAATAGCACGAATACCTGTTTGATTTTCCAGCGATTATTGAACGGATATATAGTGTAAACAATTTATGTACACATGACTTGTGCTGCTTTACCATACGGAGATCCTCCTTGATTATGTTGTGTAATATTCGTTTGTTCAATTTCGCGCAAAGTTACTTAAGGGCTATCTGCACTAGTTGTCCCTAATTTTGGAGTAATAGACTAGAGGAAAGGCAGCTAGTCAAAACCATCAACTGACAACTCTTGAGTTACTCTAACCGGATAATGGGATTCAATAGACTAGAGGAAAGGTAGCTAGTCAAAACCATCAACTGACAACTCTTGAGTTACTCTAACCGGATAGTGGGATTCAATAGACTAGAGGAAAGGTAGCTAGTCAAAACCATCAACTGACAACTCTTGAGTTACTCTAA